TTGACACAAAAAAAAACCCTATTTTTGCACTAAATATTGTTTATAAAATCCCCTAAAAGTAATTAGCTGTTGGATTTTTGGTTTTTAGCATCTATAAATGATCCTTAACAATACTGCATTGATAGTTTGCTGTTAAATTTTATGTTACGAAAAAATTTATCTGCCCTGACTATTTATTTATTATTAAAATTGGGAATATTCTGTCTATAACAACCTTAGAGCAGGTCTACAGTAGAACTAATTTTTAACCTCCTGTTCTGGAAACATCCATCAACATCACAATAACACATAAGGCGATTTTCAGCCTGGAATATTTATCGGTAAATACCGTGGTTATTCTTTTGGTTGACAACTTTGACAGCCAAGTGTGACGTCATAGACCCCCACCACTCAAGAATCATAACCCAAGGAACTGACCGCTGAAATGATTGAGGCGATTTTCAGCCTGGAATGATTATTATTTGGTTATAACCAATGCATTTCCGCCGTCGCGGTTTTAACCAAAGTAGGGGAAGTTGTGATGTCACATATCAGCTGATTTGCTTTTGGTATTTACCACTTATAACCGATTATAACCCAGCTCTGGACTTGGGTTAATCTTTTGGTTACAGCTTTTTGATGTTATTGTTATTATTTTGGGAATTGATATTGGTATTTTTGTGATTTTGCAGTTGTGTTGTGGCCTAGCACAATGAAAGAAGTATACACTCACTCACTCACTGCAACTCGCCATGTTTAGATCGAGGTTTAGATCATCCCCAAAGAAAATCTGTTCGATAAACGAGACTAACGAGAGATTCCGCTCCATTTTTTCTACCTAAACAACAAACCATTGTTGAAACGAAAAAACAAATAGGAATGATAAACATAATCCTACACTGCTATAACCAAATCATTTCAGCGGTCAGTTCCTTGGGTTATGATTCTTGAGTGGTGGGGGGCTGTGACGTCACACCTGGCTGTCAAAGTTGTCAACCAAAAGAATAACCACGGTATTTACCGATAAATAATCATTCCAGGCTGAAAATCGCCCATAGTTAACTTCGACGCTTCGCGTCTCAGTTAACTAACTAATCTCTCGACAGTAATGAAACTCTTCCCACCTCGGTATGTAATATACTATTATTTGCAATCATATATGTAATCTTGTCATTACTGACTTTTTAAAAATTTGGAAGTGACACTTTACCTGTGTCACTTCCCTCTTCGATTTCCCTCACCGATTTCCCTATTCGACTTCCCTCACCGATTTCCCTCACTCTAATTTATTTACCTTTGCTGGCAACAATGAAAATATGTAAGGTAAAAACGTCAAAGCAGCGACTGACACATTTTGGCATGTTTGTTTTATTTTTTTAATATTAAAAAAATTGATTGACTAATCATAATTAATGGTGTGCTTGCAAATAAAATAGTATACAAACCTTGGAGGGAAGTTTTCATTTCTGTCTCGAGATTATTAGTCAATCTCTCGACAGTAATGAAACACTTCCCTACTCGGTATGTAATATACTATTTCCTACAGCCGTGCGGAAAAGATATGCGTGCGGAAAATGAGTTTTCCCGAACGGTGCGGTAAAACTTTTTTTTTTGACATATCAGTGCGGAAAAAGTTTTTCCGCACGGCTGTCAGTGCGGAATAGTTATTTACCTAACAAATGCGGAAAGTGATACTTTACCGCACGCAACGGCAGTTAAGCCGTTAAGGGCGGTAAAGGTACTTTCCGCATGTGTTAGGTACAAAATTTTACCTATGAGCATCTACATCTCCAAAAAAAGGCATTTATAAAATTAATTAATGAATCAGATTAATTAATGAAATTAGATAAGATTTAGAAATGAACAAAAATCCATTTTCTGAAAAAGAGAGGATTTTTGATTATAAATATCAAATACTACTTTACCGCACACTATGCGGTAAACTGCACTTTACCGCACACTTTGATTCTACTTTACCGCATACTATGCTGTAAAGTTAACTTTACCGCACACTATGCGGTAAAGTGCACTTTACCGCATAGTGTGCGGTAAAGTGATACTTTCCATTTGCAAATACGTGCGGTAAAGTTCACTTTACCGCACGCTCGTAGGTAAAAAAATTTACCGCACTGATGTGTCAAAAAAAAAAGAAAAATTTTACATTTTTACGCCTGTAGGAAAAATATTGTACCTAACACTTGCGGAAAATATTTTTCCGCACTCGGCTGCATCACCGAACTCCGCTATGCGTCGTTCGGTGAACGGCAGCCGCGTGCGGAAAAATTCATTTTCCGCACTTGTTAGGTAAATAGCTATTTAATTTTTGACAAATTTTCACTCATGTATTTTTAACTGAAAATTCGGGCAAATTTCTCAAAAATTATCAATAATTTCCATTGCACTCGTTATATTACTATTGATAACTATTGCCCAAAGGACTGGTCCAGTGACGCTTTAACCTTTCTCTGGCCCGTAGGTCAATTATTTGGTATGGCCTTTCATGAGTGATTGTTCTTTTTTATGGGGTTAAATAAAATCATTCAGACGATTTCAAACTACTAACCTGGCAGAATATGAAGGCAAAAAATGTTGCCAAGTAGTCAGGGCCGGATTAACCATAAGGCGGAAGTGGGCGATCGCCCGGGGCAAAAAGTCAAAGGGGGCGAAAAATTTTAAAAATAAAAATAAAAGGAAAAAATTCAGAAAATCAAACAGCAAAATGACAAAAACTTGACTTCCTACACATAATATGACAACATTTTGACCTTGGAACTGCATTTTTGTATAAATTTGTTTTATTATGGGCACTTTCCAAATTTCACCGATAAATTGACCGGTTAAATAAACCGGTAGCTATCAAAAAATTCCGGTAAAAGTTAGGTGTATATCCGGTACAAGATTTTTCTGATGCATTTTGGAACGCTTCGGTGTGTTAAAGTTTGGTTGTAACGGTTGTGTTGCAACAGTTCAAGGAACGACTGCCGATAATGCCCATTCAAAGAAATTGATGTACGTCAAAACATTGTCAGAAAATCTCCAACCGAAAAAACCGACAAAAAATTTCCCGGTGGATCCGGTGCCTCACCGGATTCAAACAGTAGATCATTCCGGACAATTTTGGAGCGGACGATCTGGTTCAACCGGTAAAAAGACGGTACATTTTGGAACGGTTTGGTGAGTGAACTATTGCAGCGACTTGAGGGAACATGTAAAAACGATCTGGACGATTATTTTCCTCAGAAATGTCTTCAATATAAATATTTCCTGATTTCTAGTAGTTACGATGGCACCTTAAATTTGGATAAACCTCCACAAAGTTTAAAGTCTGAAAAAGTAATCTCGATATTTCCCAATATCGAGGTACCATTGAGAATGTATCTTTGCCTTCCATCGACTAACGCGTCTGGAGATAAGTCTTTTTCCACCCTAAGGAGGATTAAAGACTATCTCAGAAACACACATTCAGATGAAAAGACAAGTGACTTGGCACTAATCAACGTGTCTCATGCCATCTTTAATTCAAAATACTAAGTATTTGTCTTTTTTATATTGAAGAATCTTCAAATGACAAAATAAAATATAATGATATAACCCAGAGCCTGGAAGGGTGCGAAATAATTCTAATCGCACAGGAGCGAAAAAAGGCTCAATCCGCCCCTGCAAGTAGTATTCGGTAAAATCAAAGAAAGGTACTACAAAATGATGGAACAAGAATGGTCACAAAACATGCTATATGGTTGGAACGTTCTAAAAGAAAATGATGGGATTGAGCTCGCAGCCTACCAATCACCATATATGGATGCTGGGGACTAAGTGTACTGATGGGTGCTTCGGAAGAACAGCTGCATGGCTTGGAATCAAATTTAGTAGCGAGGAAAAGATGCATAAAGGGTTGCAACTCAGAGTTCGTACTATGTTGCCTGTACATGTCCTACAAGCTCAACAACAACAAGGCACGACTTCGTGGTACACTGGACCCTTAAGATACTGCTCAAGTCCCTGGATGCTCCAGAAGAAGCTCAAAGAAACTTACAATTTGGCAAAGCAGCGCAAATACTAACAGGTTCCTGCTGTAGTCGTTGCTAGTTGCCACGTACCCGTGCTGCGCTAATGAATCGACGGCGATTCAGCGCAGCTTGGTGACTTTAGGGCGTCTTCCGGTTTGATGCTCGATGGAGCGAGCGGAGCGATTCCAGAGCATCGTGACATCAGGCAGTGCACTCTGGCCAAACCAAATGTGCTTGTGCAGTGTGAATTATGAGAATTAAAGAGTATTGAAATATATGCTAGTCCTGCTACTAAACAAGTCGATGTTTTTAATATAGTGGGCTTTTATATTTTATATTATAAATTAAAGGCCAGCAGTTGGCCTTCATCCTCAAGTGGCCCGTAGGACATGACCTAATTGTCCTAACGGATAAAGTGTCCCTGGACTGGTCACTGGTCGGAGGTTCCTAATGCTTTCTGTGAAGATTTAAAGTATTCCAAAAATTCCCTACCTATATTAAAATATCTCAGAGTGTATAAAAGAGAGAAAATTATTATTATAGAATTATTTATTCAATTCGGCTATACCTTTGGCTATACTAAAGTTTTCAGACAATATGAGATAAAGAGCGGTGCAGTGTTCAGAGGTTATGGATTAATTCATATTTTTGATGTTCTGCCTCAACTTCACAGACAGCATATAAACAAAAGGGCCAACGTCCAGAAGTGGAATTCAGGCAGACGAAAGACAACAATTAAAAATGAGGTATGTAATTATTATTCGGATGTAGTTTTATTGAAAGTTTTTTCAATTTATTATTTGATTGATTAATAATGATAAAATTCTTCATTTGCATAAAAGGTACCACAGTGTCTACAATTTAAATTAAAATAACCCGCCATTGTGGATTTTTCGTCAATAAAATAAAATAATGTAGGTACCTACCTATCTAGCAAATTTAAAAAATAATATGTATAGGATTCAAATATAGGTCCTTAAAATACTAATAAAATACCATACCAAAGATGATTAGTCACAAAACAAATAAAGTGACCTTAACAATATCCTGAGTTCCCAATTCAGGCAGAGTCTTAAGCTCTTCAGCAACCGCGTCTGCAACATCTGTCATTAATTCAGTCATATTTCCAAGACAAAACGCAGTTATTTTAATGGGCAAGTTCCCTCGCTCAATTTCTAACCTTATTATTTCGGTTAAAGCGGTTATTGCATCAGTATCCGGATCAATATTTGTCTGAGGTAAATCTTCGACACATTGACCTTCAATTATATGACCTTTGGAGCTATGTATTTTCATTTTGGCAATAATTTCTTTGGTCAGTATGGCAACAGTAGATACTACGATGGTGTCCCAAGTATTTTTCCCTTTTTTTATGTCACCATTGATGGTAGGAAGTCCTCTTCCAGCGTTATTTACTGAGTTGTGTATTGATCCAAGTTTTTATTTTTTTGACGGTTGATATTATTTCTTCTCGATTGGTTACGTCATATTTGAATGAGCCACTTTGGTCACTGAGATGCTTAAAATGCTCTTCCATGCGTTCTACTCTTCTGGCTAGATCTGCCGCTGTAATACCTTTTTGAACCAAAGAGACCGCTAGGGCTTTACCAATTTCTGCAGACGCACCAGTCACTATGGCTACTTTACCGGCGAAATTCTCTGATGAAAAAGATCCCACTCCAGCGTTGCTTACTAAATTATTATTAATTGATCCAAGTTTTTCAGTTATTTTTTTGACGGTTGATACAACTTCTTCTTGATTGGTAACGTCAAATTTAAAGCCGTGTAATTTACCATGGTGGTTAGTGAGTTGTTTGAAATGCTCTTCCACGCATTCTACGCTTTTGGCTAGACCTGCCGCTGTAATACCCTTTTTAACTAAAGATAGGGTTAGAGCTTTACCAATTTCTGCAGACGCACCAGTCACAATGGCTACTTTACCAACAAACTTGCCCAATGACAAAGAGTACGACATTTTCTTCAAACTAGAATATAATTACAGATTAAGTAAACCACTTCAGTAAAGTAAGCAATATAGAATAAATACATTATTTATAGTAGGTAATTTCTTATCTGTAATTTATCTTTGACTATTTAATAATATTGATAAAATAATTGGTTTTATAGAATTATCACTAGGTATCGATAACTGGAGGCACTGACAACCTATTTGCATGCATATACATACATTGTTATAATAAAATGAATGGAATGGATATATTATCTAAACTATTTGACAATCTGGGAAATAATTTATTTCATATACTGTAGGACATACCTTCACTATATTACCTACTACTTCATCAATTTCGGTCCGGGAAATGGCACATTACGTCACTAATCCTGTGAAGTAGCATTGCCGGACTCCTCTGTTAAAGGACAAAATATGGTTCAACATCTGGATCAAGTTTTTTTTAAATTGATAAATGCTTCTCATTCCGTGGCGATGCCGATAAGAGATACTTAGGTATACCTTGGAACATTAACCTAATCTATAATCGGAGAAAAAAAATATTAGCACATTATCAGCATTTCAATTCAATATGTGATAATAATAAGTAATGCAATAAATTTGAAATATAAGCAATTTTTTATATAATATTGGAAAAATACGCTAGAAAGAAATCGCTACTTATCCAGGCAGGTAAGGGTAATCTTTTGGAATAAAGTTTTCAAAATTATTTCTTTTTCTAGGTAAAGCCTAAAAGTTCTCATGAAGCGGAAAATCGCATTGCGGGTGCGGAATATCGCTTTCCGTTCAAGAAGTAATTTTTGCCGGTTCACATAAATTAAGCGATATTCTGGAAACGGATTTTTAGTTATATTTAGGGTATTTCACATAATATTTCAGTGATTTTTATCAATGTTTTAACAAGCGGCTCGCTTAAGACCCTGCAGTCTCATTTCGTATTCCGCCATCAATGATATAACGAATTATAGGCACGAACTTCAAAAGTTTATCGGTCCTGTAATTTTGTCGTCGCTGCTTGCTTAGACTTTGGATGCAATGCATAATTTCTAACAAGCTGCACCTAATTTACGTTTTTGAAGTTCCCAGGAGTTAGGTATAAAGAATTCTCGGGATAGGTACCTACCTTCTACTTTGTGATAGGAATAACGGTTCTATATACATATACCAATAAACAAAATAATAATTTTGTAAATTTATAATCAATAAAGACCCGATATGAACCCTCGTGAAACGATCTGTAGACATCCGCATGTGCACAAACAAGAAGTAAATTCATAAATTAAGAAAATGTTAGAAGATAACATAATCAGACTATCCTGTAGTCCCTGGTCATCCCCTGTGTGGATAGTACCTAAGAAAGAAGATGCCGTAGGCATATAAAAATGGAGAATGGTCGTTGATTATCGAATGATAAATGAAAAAACTATTGATCATAGATATCCTCTACCTAAAGTCTGTTTTATATTTAAAGATAATTCCCCAAGTCAAAAATTTAGTAACTATATTGGCAACACAAAGCCTTTTCCAGTGCCGGCCCGAGGTTACTTTTAGGATGGAGCGAGATCCGATTTTGGCGCCCCTAATTAAGTAAATGCGAATCGTATCCACCGATCAGAGCTGTTCTAAGTACCAAGAAAAAGTACTTAAGTATCAAGTACAAGTTTCTTTTTTGATACGAATCAAGTACCAGTACAAGTAAATTGACTTGAATTGCCCAAATTCAAGAACAAGTACCAAATTCCACGAAAGTCAGAGTTAAGTTAGTATTATCTTAAACTTGCGTAATTGAAATGATATTCACGTAGTAATACTTCAAAAAATAATCTAAGTATTTCTTATTTCAAGTATTGTTCGAATTAAAAACAAATTAAATTATTGCTATCGACAATCTTAATGGGGGTGTGACCCAAAAATTGAAGTTTTAGAAAAAATATCTAAGAACAAATTTTCAAACCGCACTAGGTTACGACCAACCGTTGCGAAGATACTGTGGTATAAAATTTCTACTCCTAGCACTGTGACGTCATATGCACAAACTGAGTCCGACAGCCGGCATTGGCGCGCATTTGCTGATTCTTGCTGCATATGTTAGCTCAGTTCCAACCGACAGGAGAAGCGTTCCAGAACCAGTAATTTCCAGTTGCCCACCCATTTTTCAATAAGTTGATCATTTATTCTACTTGGCAGATGAATTGATCAACTGGAAATTACCGTTCTAGAACGTTTCCCATGTCGGTTAGAAGAGAGCTATTATCAACATTATCGTATGGTTTTTGCGTTCTCATACCTATTGCTGCATCAGTTTAAATAGGTTTTGCAATTTTTGCGTGTGTTTATGACGTCACGCGATGAATAGACAAAATTATATTTAGCCGTATCTATTTTATTTTTTCGAGTAGCGATGCGAGATTTTCACAAGAGTTCTTAGAATTTTCTTCTTTATTTACTGAATACAAGTTGTATTTTAAGGTTACACCCCCTTTAATGGGAGATATTCAGTATAGGCGTCACAGGAACGGGGATTGGTATTGGGAAACGCCAGCTGGGCTCTTCCTACCTACTGGCTGGGTTTCGGCTGCTGTCTTATCACATACTTACTACCCTTTTGCTCGCAAGCAGGATAGCAGAATATTGAAAAGCGAAGACAGGATTCAGGGCAGTGTGTCTATCTGATTGTAAAAATCATAACTCCGTTATCCTGGACTATTTCTTCATAAAATTTGAATATGTTGAAGCTAAAAGCTTCCTTAATAAATAAAAAAGGTTTCCAGAATTTTTAGAAAAAAAAATCAGGAATGAGGCCATCAGGCTATGGCAAAGATATATCACTAAGTGTGTCTGTCTGATTGTAAAAAACATAGCTCCGTTATTCTAGGCTATATCTCTATAAAATTTTAGTATATTGGAGCTAAAAGCTTCCTTAATACCTACATAAAAAAATATTTGGTTAATCTAAGTTTCCAGAATTTTTAGAAAAAAATTCAGGAATGAGGCCATCAGGCAATGGCAAACATATCACTAAGTGTGGCCTATTGGACTGGACTATTTTTCAATAAAATTTTAAAATGTTAAAGCTAAAAGCTTCCTCAATAAGCAAAAAAATATTTGGTTCCTCCAGGTTTCCCAGATTTCCAGGAAAAAAATCAGAAATCAGGCCATAGGCTGTAATGCAAAAATATCACTCAATCGGGCTCTCGGATTAAAAAAATCGTAACTCAGCTATCTTTGGTTTTTATCCAATCAAAGTTTGGTATGTCGAAGCTAAAAAGCTCCTGGATACCCATATAAAAAAATTCTTCATTTACCAAAGTTTCCCAGATTTCCAGGAAAAAAAAATCAGAAATCAGACCATAGGCTGTAATGCAAAAATATCACTCAGTGGGGCTTTTGAATTAAAAAACTCGTAACTCAGCTATCTTTGGTTTTTTCCGAACCAAATTTTGGTATGTTTAAGCTAAAAGGCTCCTGGATAAATGAAAAAACTCTAAATGTCCCAAAGTTTCCCAGATTTCCAGGGGAAAAATCAAATATTAGGCCATAGGCTGGGCTTAAGGGATTAAACAGATTTCAGAAACATATTTTTCTCTTTTTTTTTTCCACCAAGGAACAAGTCGGAGGCGCCCCTCTACGTCTGGCGCCTGGAGCGCTCGCTCCATTCGCCTTATGGTAGGGCCGGCCCTGGCCTTTTCTACATAAAAAATTTGAAAGCATTGACAATTTTACATTGTGTTGCCAACATAATCAGTAATCAGGCCTATGATGGCCGAGTTCGTTTTTGTCATCTTTTTCGTCGATTTGCTCCGAAATTTTGACAGGCACGTGATTTTTGAACTGAAACTGTCTTATCCAGTCACGTGCCTGTCAAAATTTCAGAGCAAATCGACGAAAAAGATGACAAAAACGAACTCGGCCGATGTATCCTGTCCTGTTATTTTAACAGTTGTGTTATAGTTGAAAATCTATACCTGTCTCTATTTTTACGTGTAGAATAAACAGTGACAGATAACTTAACGGTGCTGTTAAAATAACAGAAAATGATATATCATAGGCCTGAATGTCATTTTAACTTTTATCTTTAAAAAAAAAACCAGATTTTATATTACTAATATATTAGACCGACTTGGTCGTAGTAATTATTTTACGACACTGGATTTATCCTCTCGCTTTCATCAAGTCGAGATGCATGAAAATTCGATACCCAAGACAACATTTAATGTTGAAAATGGTCATTACGAATTTAACAGAATGCCTTTTGGATTGAAAAACGCACCAGCAACCTTCCAAAGAGTGATGGATAATGTATTACTATAGGATTACAGAATAGAATATGTCTAGTATACATGGATGATATAATAATTTTTAGCTTCCTAGATAGGAAGCTATGGTGATAGCCCGATTTTGACCATGTCAAAATTTCATTAAATCTTGACGTTTTGGATCATTTTAAGCCGAGTTTTGAGCCTTTTTGGCAAGGTGGCACATTTCCGTCTGTGTGTATTAGACCGGTGCATAACGACCATTTTTTTAAAACGATTTTCTCCCGTCTGCCATTAAGGGTGGTTATTCTTTATGCAATAAGAAGTGGAATGGCCGAAGTTTCAAAGAGCCCCGCGTGTGACAATACAATGATATGCCAATTTGAAAATGTAATGAAAAGTGGAGATTTGGATCAATATTATCCCGTCTGCCACACATTGTGAAGGTAATTTAAACAAAATGAGTAGAAGGAAGCTAAACGGCAGAAACCCTAGGTTGGTATAAAGTATCATATAATTAATTTTAAAATGTCGCCAAAATCGGACATGTGGATCAACGACCTCCCGTCTGCCAAATTAAATTTATGTTACATCTACGATTTAGAGATCAATAAGGAAATGGCAGAAAATCTCGGTTGGTATAATAATATTTAACAATTTTTGAAGTTGTATCAAAATGCTGAGATGTTGAAACAATTTTCTCCCATCTGCCATTAGGAAGATAAGTTTGACATGTAAAGTAAAATCCAAGAAATGT